TCCCCCACCCAAAAAAAATTCCCCCCCCCCCCCTCTTTACATGTTTATTCACGAAAATGCCATTCTAATGGAAAAAAAAATCAATCAAATTACTTACAGGAAATGAAGGGCTATGATCATCTTGATGAAATCCAAGGGTGCTTGATGATTCAAAAGAAGAAGAAGAAGTTTGATATTTTTCATCATCATCTAAAGAGAAATTAAGAATATCATCATCTACCATAAAACAAGTTTTTGAGTACATAGCTTCCATTTTCATAAAATTCTTTTTAAAAAAAAAGAAAGAAATTTTTTTTCTATAGAATTTTCAACAAGTTTTTGGTTTTATTTTGGCTGTGTTTGGTTTGAATTTGTTAAGAGAGACAGAGAGAAATTTGGGAGAAATAATTGTGGGTAGGAAGAAAGAGAGATTCTCTTTCCTCTCTCTTTCTTGTTGGTGTTATTATTGTTACGATAATATCGAAGAATATGGTGCAGTGAATAAGATTTCTTTATTAAATAGAGGATTGAATTTTGAGCTTCAGATATTAAAAGATATTTGATAGGAAACGTTATTTTTTAATGGATTGTATCTCGTGCGAGTTTAAATTAGTCGAATATATCAAACACCAGATAAAAAATCAAAAGAATAATTATTGTTACCAATAATACCAAAGAACGTGGTGTGTGGTTGATGGGACTCGTTATTTAATTAGAATTTTCGAGTTTAAGTTTTGAGATATGAAAAAAATCTTTAATAGAAAACTTCATTCATAAATGAGTTTTATTTTGTGTGAATTCAGATTAGTCAGACTTAAATATGAAAACGAAAACAAATAAAAATAATAATTATTGTCACTAATAAAAGGCCAAGGTTTATTATTGAATAGCAAATTGGCAAGTTGGAGGCAACAAGAGGATGTTGATTTTTCATCTGTTTTTTTTAATTTTCTTTCCTTTTACGTTTGTCGTAGAAATGATACCCTGCTTATCTCACTTGCTTTTTTTTTTTTTTTTTACTTGGTACTGAATTTTCATTTTGTGTCTCGACTAATTTAATTCACCTCGTATAAGATTCATTAAAAGGGAAAAATATTTATATGTGAGTCATTACCACACAAAAAACACATGTTCAGTGTAATCTCATAGATGGGACTTGAAAGAATCAAGATATACGTAGATTTTATCCTACAAAATTATTGAAGTAGAGAGGTTGTTTTAAATCTCGACTTAAAGAAAAATGTTATATAAGTCACTACTGATCATACTTTAAAATGTGCTTAAGTTTTACGAAGAAAGGTCTAATGTCTGATAGAGTGTATGCAATACTTAAGCAAAATACGAAAACAACAAATAAGAAACTACAGAAATAATACAACTACTAGTATAAATATATATTGAAAAACAACACACTATTAACTACTTTAATTCATGGAATAGCTTTTACAACCTCCTATCTAAAATCACGTAAATTATATACGCATATATTTTTTTCATTTGTATTTATTTATTTATTTATTTCAACAAGTAGGTATCCCTTTGTGGTCAATTATATTTAGGTACTATTGGTCTGTGTCAACTCAACATGACCAAAAATAGTGCTAGTGAAAGTACGCCCAATATTTCATGAACTTGACAAGGACTATATACTTACCACTATATTTTATTTTATTTTATATTTATTTATCATAGAATAGAATATTTACATGTTGTTTTCCAATGTAGGATACAAATATAAATAATTAAAACTTGATTATTATTATTATTATTGTCATAACACTATGAGGTTATGTGATCAGGAAAATGGGACATAGATAAAAATATCTCATGAAATTATTTTATTTTATTTTTTATATGAAATAATTTATACTAATATAGTGAAATAAAATAATTTTGAAGTCAAATAAAATTTAAAATCAAATACATAATAAAGTATCTTGAAATTATTTTTTTTATTCCACCGATCAAACAGCCCCATGTATTTTACATTATTAGCCAACGCAGGCTGCTTAAGCAAATCATGGAATTGATTAGTTAATCTGTCCAATAAGAGAGTGACACGATTGTTATTAATTTATTTATATAATAAGTTACTTGAAAAAATCTTTGACTATTCCGACAATACATGTGATATTTTTTTATTTTTTTTGTGTATGTGTGTGTTTAATGAAGGAAGAGTTCAAAAGTCGTAATAAAAAAATTAATCAACACAAGATTTAAAGAAATGATGAATGATTAAAATTGAAGTCACATCGTCTTTGAGATTATATAGTAAAATCTCTTTATAATAGTGTCGTTTATTAATATATTTTTTAACTGCTACGTCAAAATGTTATTATATAGGATATATATGAAATATAACATAATATAAAAGTCGATTCTCAAGAAAAGACTAAATTATATTATAATTAAAAGAAATATTATTATAAAAAATGACTGTTATAAAAATGATCCGACGATTTTATTAATTGGACATAAAATATAAGTGGAGCAAATTTGGGTGTTACTAGGGCCTACCCATGTTTAAAAAATTGTATGATTAGTTGTTAGATGTTTGCAACTACTCTCCCATTTTGCATGTGAGATATCACATGCAAACTTTAGAAAAAAGTCATGTTATGTGTTCTTTATTTTATTTCAAGTTGAATAAAAGTAGTTTTGTCTTTGTGACTTAAAATACACATCAAATCAATCAATCATAATATCTTTTCATAAAAGAAATAGTCTAGTAACAATTCTGTGTATTTATTTAATTTTTCTCTCCTAAATTTCCCCGTCCTTCGAGGTTAATTAATCTAGTATATTTCTTGAAGTTAGAATGATGTATTTCCCCGTCCTTCGAGGTTAATTAATAGTATATTTCTTGAAGTTAGAATGATGTAAAGCTCAGTTGGATAGTCTTAAAAGTTTGTCAAACTTATTTTTAAATTAGTTTTTTATTTTTGAAAGTGTTTGACAAATATAAAAAAAAACTTAAAATAAGTCAAAAATGACTTAAATAAGTTAAGAAGTGTTTGACAAGGTTTAAAATGACTTAAAATAAGTTAAAAATGACTTAAAATAAGTCAAAAACCAAAAGTAGGTCTCCCCTTACTTTTTTTTTTTGACTTAAAAGTCATTTTAGTTTTTTTTTTTTTTTTTACTTAAAAGTTACTTTTTTTAAGTCAATCCGAACGGGCTCGTAGACATCCTCATGATGTATTTGAACGCCAAAAATGTTGGACAATACTTCAATATTTCGAGTTGATATCTAGATGGAGAACATCTGATCTTGATCTCTTTGGTTTTGAGAATAACAACATTTGATGTTCATTGTTCTGATTTCTTTGTAAATATTCCATGAATTTATGAGATTTTCAAGATGTCTCTTAAAGAAAATACACTCTTTTATATTAGTGAATAGTACGAGCTAGAGTTTAGGGTTGAATAACATGAGATTAGAACATCACCATCACCATCAATCACTTCGACTCATACCTCACACGCCCACCACCGCCATCACTTCCAACTATCACCACTAACCATTTCCGTTGCTAACTACCACCTCCACCACCGGCCACCTCTATCACCAGCCACTACAGCCCAGCAACCACCACTAGACAAGCTCTACTGTTAACTATGTTCACCACCAACCATCAACCCACAATCATCATAATATGTATTCAATTTGAGATGTTGAGAAACACAATTTTAATTATCTAGCATTCAAATTCAGAGACAACATCTTAATACTCAAACATGTATTCATATTCAGACATAATAATGTTTTCGTAAAAAAAAAAAAAGAGTCTACGTGTGCCTCGAGGAGAGGGAAAAAATGAGTACAATATTAACATCAAGTGATTACAATGATCTTCCATTGCAATGGCAAACAATTACATTAAGATTCCTCAGCAGGGCTTGCCCAATTCAACAAAGTTTTAACCCTTAAAATGTATTGCGAAAGAGAGATCAAAGACGAAGTTTTTTTTTTACGCAGAGCGGGCACCGGATGGAAAAGATAACTTTCAAAAGGACTTATACAACAATAGGCTTCCAATGAAAGAATTGGCTAGCTGACACTAAAATTTAGTACTATTTCAAGTGGTTTGATGAGTACCTCGTGTTATATCTTCTGTCTAAGTTGATAGTGTATTCATCTCTTTGTCTCTCCCTTTGCTATGTTAATCTATATTGCTCGAACTCTTCAAAAATGTCAACGAGTACATGTCGGATTCTCCAAAAGTAGGGTATTTTTTAAGAATCCAACACAGGTGCAGCATCGAAAGTGAAGAGTTTGTGCAACTTAGATGTTAATCATCTGGAGGAGGAGGTCTTCTCATATTGACATTGATCAGACAAATATGATCCGTTAGAGAAAAGCTCAAGAAAATGTTTCTCGAGTCTCTTTGCTCCGAAACCCGGTCTTATGATTTCGGCATCTCCCCAAACGGTACATTTGTTAGTTTCAGTGTCACCTAAACACCACCCGCCTGGCACTGGTTCGTCACGATTGTGGTGGAGAAGTTCATGGTCGATCTTATCAAGAACCGGATCGCCTGCCTTAAATGGGGAAGCAAAGGCTGCTCCACTCATCACCAGGTCATTGAAGTCACTTGAGTTGAGCCGGCGAACTTGTGATCTGGAGTTAAAAGAAGCATACTGCATGTTGTGGTTGATTGTTGTCCCATTGAATTTCCGTGAATTGCACAAAACGGTTGGAAAATATACAGATTCTGAAGATGGTGAGTTTGACAAGTACATTAACAGAGTTCTAGGGAGGTTATCCGAGCCTAAGATGCAGAACTCGGTAAACTTCCGACTCAAAATAGCAGATGATGACCCTGCAGTAAGAACAAATTAGTTGGTCATAGTATGAAACTCATGCAAAACCTGCTATTTTATAACAAATTGGCTGGTTTTAAATGTCCTGCTTTACAACGTTTCTAGACAATAATACGAGACAAATAGGAAGAGTATCTCGTGAAAACAGAGCCCATCATTTATGAGGGGTCTTGGCAATGCAAAAACCACCTCTCTGAAAAGATGTTTTCAAAAACGAAAAATCCAAAAGAGACACAGAGTCTGCAGGGCTTGAAATGAAAAACATGAAGTGAAACGCACAATTTAAGAAAAATTAAAAAATTGCCAAACATATGAGAATAACTAACTTCAGCATCAAATAAACAATAATTAGTCCAACTGCTCAAGTTCAAGATTCAAAGAACCAACCGCTTCTATTTGGATTTACTTTGCGCGTCTTTGTTTGACGCACATACTTCTCTAAAGCTCATGGCTTCAAACTGAAGTGATAACCCCTTGTTTTGCACTGTTTCATCATTTTAAGCAACTAAGCGGTGGCGTTTAGTATTGATCACGCTAATTATATTTCAACCACATCATAGAGATGAAAGGGACAACTTTATACGTCAATATTCATCGAAATTAAAAACCCATTAGCTCTGAAAAGAAAGAAAATTTACTTTTTCACCCTCCTC